TAGCACAGGCGCGGCGGAAGGCAATCGAGGCCGAGGAGAAAGAGCTGAATACAATGAAGGATGGCGTGCCGGGGCCTTGGTGCCTTGGGCACTCGGGTGCTGCAAGGAGGCCGGAGCATGCCGTGACTCGCAGCCTGCGACCGAAAGTTTTCAACAGCTGGTCATGTAGCAGCATGTAGCAGTTTATTTCTCCGCCGAGCGAAGACCTTGGTTTCGGGGGCTAAGCCCAGGTCGTGGCAGGATGCCGCAGATGCTGGCGCTTTTTTCGTCAACAGTTGCGAGCCCAGGCAAACAACATGCAGAGCCGTAACCCTCACGCCATGCCACTGTGCGATGACTCAGGCTTCTTTAGCCGTTCGAGTGCTCCCTCCGGCCATATTGTGAAAGCGCAGCGGCAGACCTGCAGGCGCGATGTAATGTAGTCAAGTCGAGTCTGGCAGGTTCACATGCACCGATCGGAAACGGACACCTCTCTGTGTCGCTCTCTCTCACGCTCGCTCTCCCTCTCTCTCTCTCTCTCTTTGTTCCTCTTAGCATATAGTGTGGTCTCTCTGCTTAAGGATGAACGCCATGATGGGCCAGATGTGGCCGAACTTATGGGCAGCTTAACGATGGCATGAGTTGGCCGTACTATCTGCAAGGTGAAGTGGCTTGGCCTTTCACAAGCACCCGGCAGGCACGCGGGCAGGGACGACCCTACGAACGGTTTGAGACCTGGGTGTCGGAAGACCTGGCAGATGTTGGGCCATGGCCTTGCTGTTGTAGAAATTGACAGCTCTCTCTGATTGCCTCAACATTCCTGCTGCGAGGAAATGTGACAGCTCGCCAAAGCGTGTGCCGCTGGCCACATTCGTGAGAAATGGGATGCTGCCCAAAGGCCGAGACTACAATTGTGAAGCAAGCTCAGATTGAAGTGCTAATTGAATCGACTTTGGTTTGCTGGCTGCACCGTGACAATATCATGGAGACTGCGCGATTCTGTACTTTTGGGCCGGAGGAGTCGTGATCCCCAATTCTCTGCAATCATCCATGCAAGAAAGCTGGCGTTATGTCCCTGCCAGTTGTACAGAAGGGACCGTCGTGTCGACCTCATAGGTGACTTGTTTCACACTTACCGCGCAAAAGACCGGCACCGGTTGGAATTACATCTAACTTCAACCTCCGTTTGTACATGACTGCCACGTTACCATCTCTCGCATATGTAGTGATTGCGCTGCAAGCATGGTATTATTGTTTGTTACTGTTATTGTGATCTCAATGCGCAGATGTTGGAAACTGTCGTGGAGACGTGTCAAAGTTCTGCTCCCCCATGTGTGCGGTGGGTTCAGAGTGTCCGGCATGTGTGTGACATTTGGCTTCGCAGGCATTGGCAGCATGTTACTTGAGCTGGCCTGATTCACAAGGCAGCGCTCGCTGGCAGACTAGACCTAGACCTAGCTTGATAGCATCGCAGAATCTGGTGCATACTCCAAGTAGGAAGTTCATGTCCACAACTAGTGTTGGCCCTCTGAGAGATTAGCCATTCTGCATCTGATTGTGCGAGCTGCGCGAGCTGCGCTCCTGAGCGGCCTAGCTAGGGCCTAGCTTCGAAAGCTGTGACAGCATTTTCGGAGCACTGCCTCAATGCCATGAGCCTTCCAGACTACTACACTGTGCTGGGCGTGCAGCGTGATGCGCGACAGGTGCAGATAAAGAAGGCCAGCGCAATTCACTACCGAACTTTCGTAGACAATTTCCATCTCTGCTGTACGGGGAGCTGATGCAAAAATCAGTGGATGATGGCAACCTTCTGTCACGACATGTCGCGACTGTCTTCACAGGCCTACTTTGAGCTGGCCAAGCAGCGTCTCCACTGCAGATAGATGTAGTCCGGGTCCAATCCTTTCAGCCGGGAGCTGTAAAGTGGTAGTATGGGGAGTTTCAGACGGCTTGTTATCACCTTGATGTTGGGTTCGGTCCAGTGCACTTTGAGGCAAGCAGACGCTGTCCAAATTACACAGCGGCCCAGTGCATCAGCCTTCCTTGATCCTGATTGGCTTGGACATGTCGCCTTTCAGGATGCATCCCGATCGACACCACGGGACGGACGTGGAGCCAGCGCCCAAGATCACTGTCGCAAGGATTGCTGTGGAAAGGTCGGTATCAAGCCTGCGTAAAGATCTAGGCACCAAGCACTAAAAAGCCTCCAAGAAAAGGCCTGTTACATCAGTCTTTGGACCAAGGGAAGGTGCCACCCGTGCCTTCGAGCATCTCCAAAAGGCCTACAGCGCATCTCGGACCATACGGTGCTCATGCAGAACATGCAGGGTTTGGCGTAAGCTGTTGATCCATGTTGAGTCGAGCGCTAATCGCAGATTTTTTTCAGCGGGAGGGGATCGGAGGGGAGGCCAGCGTGAGAAAAGGGAGCTGTATGAACGATTCAATTCCTCCTTCACCATCCTGGAATTCCTTGCCTGTTCTCATCTGCGTCCTCCATCCGAAACCAGCGAGGTCTTGTCCAATCCGGAGAAGCGCCGCGCTTACGATGCAACGCTCGGGGACAATGGTGAGGGTGCAGCAGCGCAAGCATTTCGAGGCCTTGGAATCCTCGTATTTGGCATCTCGCCTCCATCTGTCTGTCTGGTTGCCTCGCTGTCTAAGGTATCTTTGCGTAGTAACTTAGTACTCGTACAGATAGGTTGATGATGGTTGATGCACGCCCGGCCGGTATTCGGGACATCTCTTGAGTCTTGAGGCTTGCCCAGGTTAACTCTGAGAGAAAAATCGCCAAAGCTTCGGGCCTAAGTTCTTCAAGGCTGTCGCACCCCCGTAGATACCTGGGTCTACTTTTTGTTGCTACACTCCGTATAAAACCTCAATTTGAGACACCCTGTGCAAGGATCTGAAGGTATGGGGCAAGCGACCCGATAGATGGACACAAAGACTTCCCCTCAATTTGTTGATGCTGTACTTGTCTGTTGAGTAGCTGTGCCGACTCAACCCTGCCATGCGGGCTTTGTCCAAAAGGTCAGATCTGGTCGGCCCGCTTGCGGTCCATATGCGTGCTTTGGGTCTTAAACCGCGACGACGTCCAACTCAATTCGGTGGCAGGCCAGGGGACGGGTCCTCTGGGTGGACCCTCGTGGCTGCACCGAGCGGAAGAGCGAAAGAGGCCCGGGAAAGTTTGGACCGGCAGAGTCTTAGCGAGCTTCAGGGTCACAACTGAGGTCGTTCGAGCCATGCCCAGCCCAACTGCACAATATATATATATATATAGGCACTTCTAGAAAGACTCTGAAGCAGGGCCCCATCCTTAGGGTTTTTAGTTCAGCCTGAACCTGAAGACACAGACGTGCAGTCGAGGACCCCTCAGACTGGCACAGTAGGTCCCGGGCTCCGGGCGGGGACTCCTCTAACCTGAGCCGGTGCGCGAAGAGACCGATTCGGCTGCCAGATAGACCAAAGTCATGCTAAGGTCGCACATGCCAAAACATAAACCAAGCTGTGATGCCCGAGGCCGTGGTATTCCCAGCTCGCTTTCAGGACCTGCTGAATCCGAGGGAGGGCCGTCTTCTGTCTGGAGGGCCGTCTTCTGTCTGGATTCCGGCTGCAAGACAGTCTGAAGTCTTGGCCTTCGCTGCCAAAATCAGCTGCTGCAGCTGTTTCATAGTCATGCAAGTGCAAGGCATAGGCACGCCACGCCCTGTCATTTGCGGTTTCTTGTGGAAGGAAGTTGTGGTACCGGGCGTCCAAAACTGTGGGCGGCAGGCATGACAGAGCATCGTGCTTTCAGGATTTTCTTAGGCGTATGTTTATTGAGGGCTGTTGTGTTGAAGGCTCCACTCCGGTTCGACGTAATTATGTTCTGATCTACTCGCCACGTTTGTCAATATCTGGAGCTGCTCGTGCATCCGGAGTACCCCAAAAGCGGACAAGCTCACTGTTCTGAACCACCCGTGGGCTCTGCACAGCATGGCATAACACGCCATGGACATGCGCAGCAGTACTGAAAAGATCTGCCCTCTTTGCTAGGCCATCCTTCTTGGGCCCCGTTCTCTTTGTGGCGGGTGTTTTCACCGTCTTCCGCGGCATACCACTTGGTGTCATGCGCCTTGGACCGCATGTCCATGTTATCTCTTGATTCAGGGGCATCAGAGTCAAGACTTGACATGACACTTGGACAGGACGTACAACCGTAACCGTTCCTTGTCCGAGCAACATCGGAAGCGTCGGGTCAGGCATCTTTTTGCTAGCATGTCCTGGCTGCCCGTGTGGCCATGGACGTCAAGGTATATGCTGGACGACAAAGACAGAGTTGCGATGCTGAGCCCACCTCCCGTGAAGCGCCATTGAAATTAGCCAGGCTTTGAGTCAAAGTTGTCGCAAACGTGTTCGCACGGGGCGCTTGCCAAAGAAACGCAGTTGCTTTGTACATAGCAGGTAGAGTGGCCAGACGGCGCTGGGGCATAGCGGTGTTAATTCAGATCGGAATCGATAGTTTCTTTGGTAGAGATGAAGCGGAGGAAGTGTAAGTGATGGTCAATACGCTCCGTTGCATGCCTAGTGGTTCTGTGCAGCCACGCTACCTCTGGCTCGACACCTTGTCGCTGCCAGGCCCAAAGGGCCAAAGGGCCGGAGGTTAATGGGTGCTCTCTCTGCACCCTTCAGATTTGGGGGGCCTGTGCCTGAATTTCGTGTTTCACGTTGTGGAGACATCTGCGAGAGGAAGTCGTGAAAACTGTTGGCTCCACATCGAGAATTTCGAAACCTAACATTCCCTGATCGAGAAGCCAATTTGTTCAAAGTTCAAGCAAAGCTGTTCAAAGACGCTCAAGGCCGAATTGAAAGGTGTGAACCGCAAACCTAGCTTCGCAAGCCCGGAGCACATACTTCAACGAAACTAAAGCGGCAAGCTTTCGAACCCCGCTATGCGCATGGCAGCATTGTTTCACAGTCTTCATGTTGCAATGTGCACGTCATCATTGAATAGCCCCGATTCAACCAATCGCTCTGGCTGTCAGGCAGCCGGGCACGGCTTGGAGCTCAGCTGGGAGGACTGCTGTTCCGATGCAGCATGACGAATGTGAGAGTGGTGTGGTGTGAGTCCAAGTTTAAAGAAATACAGAAATGATGAGTACATAAATATTTATTCAAATATTTGTATATCTATATCTACATCTATATCTGTATATATATATATATATATACATTATACATACCTACACACATATGCGTGTGCACGCGTGTTTCTATGAGTTTTGTCGGAGCCGGTTGCCGCAAAACGTGCAGGTATCCAAGAATCTGCGCATAATGATCTGCAAGAAGAGCAGTTCTGATACATGTTGTGTGTGCATGTCCACACATACATGTACTTCTCCATCCATCCATGAATGCATATGCTTTGTATCTGTACATCTGAATCTGTACACACACATGTATATACATATATATATATATATATTTTTGTGTGTATATATATATATGTACATACTCACATATACATATAATTCGGCTTGGTTCAGCTGCAGAGCCTAGCGAGTGTTATGTTCCTTGGGACCATGACGTACGATGTCGCATGCGCAAGACTACTAGTTTGTACCCTTTGATGCAAGACATGGCAGGACGGACTATGGCGAGGGTGTTGGCTTCAGAGTATTGTGTCGCATTGGCATAGTCCCCAAAAAGCGAGAGAGGAGAGGAACATCAGATGAGGAGGAAGGCCGAAGACTGTGAAGGGGTTAAGCCGGCTTTGGGGCTTCGGTGAAGGTTCTCCAAGTGGCCACCACCGGGAACCTTGCAGTCGATAATGATCCAGCGCTCTCGCATCATGGTTCAGACATCATGCAGTGAGATGTTTAGAACCCAAAGCTTCATGTCACAGAATTGTGAGAGCTTAAACATCTTTAAGGCCAAGACGCCAAGTTCAAGCTAGAAGCTTTCGAGCTCTTTTCCTAGAAGACCGAACCTCTGGGGTCGTGGCCCGCAATCCTGTGACATTCGTCCTTGACTGACTTTCTCGGAAAGAGTGCAGAGCAGGAGCTCAAGTTTGCCGTCAGTCATTTCTTCGAGGTGCAGGCCGGGCAGCGCCTTGCAGTGGCTAGAGAAAGACCTGTGACAAACTGCCACTACACCAGCTGACCCCCGCCTGCAATGGAGACAGAAGGACTTCTTTTTGGAGTCCATCAAGGCCTTTGAGCAGTGACAGTGGTTCAAGCACCTGCAACAAGACTTTTTGGACGACCCTGAATGCATGCCTCATTCTTTGCGTTCCACGCTACACAGCCAGAGACGCGCGGACGTTCTGAAACCACACTAGCAGACTAGCATCCTTTTGTTTAAATCGGTGCAATACATGCAGAGCTGCATCCGTTGAGGTAGGGGCTCCCAAGCTCTCTTTGCCTGGGAAGCAGGTGATGCAGACATACGGGGAAACAAAGCGAGTCGATCAGTGGGGGAAGACGACGAGGACAAACTGAGGAGAAATGTGGATGGACACCGGGAGGATATGGACAGACACGTCTTGATTTCTCCTACTGAGGATGACACATGCGCAATATGAAGGGATACAAGCAGACAAGGCTCCATGGAGGCAGTGGTGACGAATCGAAGAAATGGTGCGAGACAAGGGAGCAATGTGAACACTAAAACAGGAGCCCGAAAGGCAAGATATGGCGAACCTCGGAACATTTCAGCACTGCACCTGACGAGCGTTCTTATCAGCATTCATGACGGGCTATTCTCTTCATCCTCATGTTCCTCTCTGTGTTCCCCTTTCGTTGTCCTCTTGCGGTCATGGTGACGATTCTCTTGTTTGTTCCCCTTGTACAGCAATTTTATTTGTGCAGTTGGCTCAGGAAGATGAGTGGATCGATGCTCTGCATGTCCGGATGCCCTGACTCCGCTTTGGTCTGGGCAGAGGTAAATAGCTGAGGTTGCGGGCTTGCAGTCAATTTCCTGTGTCGTTGAGGCGCAGAACGGGGAGTCCCTGATGCAGATGCAGCCGGCTTCCCAGAAATGGTTCCTGATTGCAGCGCATAATCTAGCAGAACAGCTCCAACATTTTGCCATCACTGGGAGTGTGCCGAAGCAAAGACATTCTTTATTCAGCGTGCATGCGGCAAAGTGAATGTAAAGTTGATGAGAATTGGAGGTACACGTGCATCTACTTCAAGGCCACGCGGAACACGACCCCTGCCCCTGGCATCGGCAAGCCAGACTCTCAGTAAAGCACAGACACTGGTGTACAGTTCACGCTTGCCGGGCTGACTCGATGAAGAGCACTGACCAGGTGAGTCAGGCAAGCCGAGTTGATTGGCACCCGCGGTCTCACCTGCAAGCAAGGTAGCAGTGACAAGCTCAAGCGCTGAGTCTGGGTCTTCAAGGGCTGCCAGATGCCCGCTCCAAGATGAATCTGAAGCCGCTTGATTCCGAAATCCCAGCGAGATGCGGCTCTAGAGTGGCTCAGGTTCTTGTTGTTTGTTCTTCGATGTACATTAGCTTGTGCTGGGTTCGGATTGGGTAAGTTTTCCGCATCGGCAGCAAGTCATGGCAGTCCATGGTGGTAACTCACCGGCGATGGAAAAGCTGCGCTCTTGTCTCTCGCTTCGCTCCTTTTGCAAGGAAGTTAGAGTGAGCAAGACAAATAATGACTGGGTTCAAAACAGTTCCAGAACACGGGTGAACTGATGGCTGTCAGGATCGTGTCGTCATCTTTCAAGACGATGGCACCTGGTTTGCAGCGTTTTTTCAGGGAGGCTCTTCAGATTCTGGGATCCAACGGTGTAGAGCCACCAGAGACTCAGAGAGCCGAGACAAGCAAAACTTGGCTGCAAGACTGGTTGTCTTTGTCGTCATATCTGCCACACATCGCGCGGGCCGCTCCACCCAACGGGTTTGGGCGCTAAAGTTGATTTGTGACAGAAGCCGAGTCTCAAAGCGAGTTTGCCATCAATGTTCGTCAAGACTCGTTTGTGGCAGCGAGCCGGATTTTGTGCCACGAGGTGTTTCTTGGCAAATCTTGTGTTGTCATGAAAGCTAGTGAGCAGCTCGGGTTCGCCCGATTTCGTTCATTCCAGCAGCCTTTTTTTCGCGATTGCGCCTTCGCCCGAAGAGCCCGGGGGAGACCCTTGCCGAACAAGTCTCGTGATATTCGTATGTCGTATGCACCCACATGTCCTGCCCTCGCCTGGTTTGTCCGAGTTGTGAGAGCGCAAGTGCACTGTCGGGTGCACCAACATCGTTGAACGCGAGATGCATCACTGCACGCAAGGCTTTGTGAGGCGCAGGGCGCAGTAGAAGAATGCCGGGGTCAGAATTAAGTATGATTGTCATGTCTGCGAGAGTTTGGGCCCAGATCTCCAGTTAGATGAGCAGCCGGTGTGCCCTGAGCCATGCAGCAGCGGTTGGTTTTTACGTTCTTTGCAGTGCGCTCAGAACATCGGTTCTGGGGTGAGGAATCCGACTGCGCTTGTACTCCTGGTCCAGTTTCCCTGCCGATGACTGGTCCAATTGTTGGACCTCCGAGTATAGGGGCTGGATGTTCAAGATGTTACTAGTATGTGCAGTTTGATGTTCTTGCACATTTATCTCTTGCTCCAGGTAGGTCGCTGCACAAACAAAACCTCAACCATTCTCAGCCCAGAAGCCCGTTTCACACCTTCTGGAACCGCCTCCTTGCATGTTGGCCTGGGGTCCTGGAAGCTGTTTGCACACAGGTTCTTATTGCGGTGGGCTCCTAAAGTGAAGTATATACCTACCAGAAGCGAATCAGGGCTTTCGTGGCTTCTGAAATGAACTGGAGGTGTGTGCAGCGGCAAGGTGGCCCTTGCGCGGGCAGCCGAAGCATGTGCCTTCCCTGAGCCTTTATGAAGCTGCATCTTTCTTGACTGCTCTTGCTTTCCTTGTGGCCCTGTGGCACGTTATTCTACACTACTGACAATGCTGGTTTATGATCCTGCACCGCGCATGCCTGCAGACGCGATTGATTCACTTATGGCACGTGATGAGTTCCAGTATCGACAGTTCAGCTCAGTTCAGGTGGATGCGGTCCCAGCCTCTTTCGATTGCGAGATGCGCAAACTGGCCTATGAGTATGGGAAGAAGCTGCTCGTCACCAAACCTGTTTGGAGCATTTCGGAGTTAGCTCTGGTAGGTTAGAGCTCTTTCCTGCTGACTCTTGAAGAATCAAGCTCCGTTTTCAATCGCCCTAGGCCCAATCGTGCCTGCTGCGTGCGTGGATGGGGACGTTTCATGAGAGCTGATTTCCGGATAAGTACCTTGTCGCATCGGCAATTCGCGATGGTTTGCAGGGGTGCAAGCAGTTTTTTGCCGATTTCATGCTAGGATTCGGGGGCCTCTAGCAACTCATTGATAAAACATGATGCCCTGCAGTCTGAACCCCGAGTCCTGGAGCAAAAGAGCTCCAAACCTGCGTACTGGAATCAGTTTAAAAAATCCACGGCAGAGCCCAGAACCTCAGAGGCTTATTCCGCGCATGGGCGCTTTTGAGCCTCGTCTCGAAAAGCTTTCTCGGAGTCTCCTTGTTCGTTTTTGGCAGTCCCAGTCAGTATTGATGCTGGTATGCTGGGATTCCGGAGGATCATCCTCTTTCGGTGTTACAGCAAACATCTTGCCGTGCATGAGCGCTTGTATAGGAGTAAATGCTTCAAAGGTGTTTGTTGCCGGGATCTCAACTGGATGTTGCACCCCCGCTTGTGCCCGCAGGTGAAGCGGCTTTATGTGGGGCCCTGAAGCCTTCTCTTCGGAAGATTAGAGAGAGAGACCGTAATCGAAGCAGGATGTCGGTGCCCGCTAGAGCCTTTGTAGCTTTCAACTTAGAAGGCAGCATTGTAGCTCTGCCAGGAGAGCCTGTATTATGCGCTGGACCTGGACAGTGCCGACTGCCACGTTGCCCCTACAGGCACTTTTTCTGAACAGGAATTCAACGGGCTGTGCTTCGTAGTGTGAGCCGCTGCCAGGCAAGCCTGTCACCGGCCCCGAGACCAAGCTGCCCACGAAGGCTGTCTTCGTCGCGGTCAATGGGAGGTCGTCGCCTTACCGTGAATCCAACTCTCAGCTGCCTTGTTCGCGTGAACGGTCCCACCCGGCCGCCGCAGGGATGATGGAGATGGGACTGAGGGCCAGCCATTGAAGTCCCTCCAGGCAGGGATCCTGAGATGTCCAGCGGTGAAGTAGCCCGGCAGCTGTTTTCTGTCGGAGTGGTTCCTCTGACATGACATTTGCCAGTCTGTGGTGTTCACTGAGTCTTGCCACACGCTGTGGATTCGGATTCTTCTGAGATGTGTCTTAGTGGAAGTTCTTGTGTGTGTGAGCACGCCTACCAGAGATTCCACTTTGACGGGTGTGGTTGGAGTGTCGGACAACACGCGAAGCAGCGTCCTGCGACTTGATCGCCGTTTTGGGGAGCACCTGGAGCTCAACAGCCAGCTCTCAAAGCTCCTGACACCTTACGGTCCGACAAGGGTAGAAGAGACCCCAAACTTCGCCATTGTCCGAAGGTGGCTGCCGATGCGGCAGCTCAACGAGGCTGGCAGACACTACACTGTCCCCCTGCACATCCGACTTTGTATTCGAAGCATTGGAAGGACATCTACGACCGAATCTAAAATTTCCCAGTAGGTTCCAGAAAGCTGCCCGTGTCAGGTGCCGCGTTAGTGCTGCGGGCGGGCACGCACTTTCTGGTGCCTGGCCG